ATGCTCATATCAAAAGAATAACATCTACGGCGTATGCGAGGCTGGCTAACATCAGAACTGCCTTCAGAAGCCTGTGTAAGGAATCATTCAGAACCTTGTATACCACATATGTCAGACCAATCCTGGAGTATGCGGCCCCAGCATGGAGCCCGTACCTTGTCAAGCACAAGGCGAAGCTTGAAAAAGTTCAGAGATATGCCACTAGGCTAATCCCAGAACTAAGAGGCTTGAGTTACGAGGAAAGGCTGCGAGAAATGCATCTCACGACACTAGAAGACAAAAGAGTAAGCGGAGACATGATCACTCCCTACAAAATTCTCAGAGGAATTGACAGGGTAGATAAAGATAAACTGTTTAACACGGGTGGTACGCGAACAAGAGGATACAGGTGGAAACTGAGTACGCAAATGAGCCACAGGGACGTTAGAAAGAACTTCTCAGTATCAGAGTAGTTAACAGATGGAATGCATTAGGCAGTGATGTGGTGGAGGCTGACTCCATACACAGTTTCAAATGTAGCTAGAGCTCAGTAGGCTCAGCAATTTGTACATCAGTTGATTGACAGTTGAGAGGGGGGGACGAAAGAGCCATAGCTCATTCTCCGCAAGCACTATTAAGTGAGTACACACACACACACACCACACACACACACACACACACACACACACACACACACACACACACACACTCATGTACATGCATGTGCACCCATGTACACAAATACATGTACACATCAATAATCTTTTAAATCACAAGTGATTCAAAAGGAGGCTCGTCACAGTCGCTATGTAAGGCATTTTTACATCTATTGCAAGTTGCTAGTTTCGCTCCACACCCGTCCAACTAGGAGGCAGCTGTACAGTTCCGTGCATGCTTCACCTACAGTAAGAAAATTGTTGGAAATTCGCTAAGATTCCTGGCAGTACGTCATTCTTAATGAAGTACTTACAGATTTCTTGGACTCCATTGATGGTGTTATCTCTGAATTCTGCTATTTTTTTCCCATTCCATTATATAATGACGCAAAGTATGCGAATAGTTATGGTGACAGTTTACATTTGGTCAAAACCAGCGGATGTTACAAACTACCAGAGGTACTCGTCCATCGTCGCATTAACAATGGGCTCGAGACGGACCTCAAGTATAGTTTCTCTAAAAATTCAGCAACTGACATATGTGGCGAGCAAGTGCCACACTTGATATGTTATTATCCTAAATACAGCCTCCCCATTCAGTGGGCTGCAGTGGATGGGATATAATTACTCAGTCACTACTGACAGTTTTTGACAAACTGGAGATATTTGGCCAAGACTTCTGGTGTTTTATTCTTTTTTGCAAGTTTTTTAGCACATGTTTGCATCAAAGCATGTTTGTATATTTGTATGTATAAGTTTGTTTTTATGAGTGTAATTTTGTATTATTATTATTTTTATTATTATTATTATTATTTTAATTATTTTATTATTAAAGTGTTTTGTTTGCAAGAGTTCTTTCTTGTAAAGCGCGTAGCATTTCGGGTGCCTGTTTGGGTATTTGTGCTAGTTTGTTTGGTAAGAGGTAATATTTTTTTTTTAAGATGTAACTGCACGTGTAGGTTAGATTGAGATCTCACCTACATTTTAAGTTAGTTTAAAAGATAAGTTCTCCCCTGATTGTGTTTCGTAAAAAAAATAAAAACGTTTAAACGGGCAAGATAAAACATCATTTAGAGAAATATAGGCGAGGAAGCAGAAACTTTCTATGTTCAATAGCTTGGGCGTCAGGAAACTGAATGCATACCTGCATTTTATAGTTTTGTGTAAAAAAAGGGCGAAATAGAATATGAGAGAAATATGGGATGGGTAAAGAGAGAGAGAGAGAGAGAGAGAGAGAGAGAGAGAGAGAGAGAGAGAGAGAGAGAGAGAGAGAGAGAGAGAGAGAGAGAGAGAGAGAGAGAGAGAGAGAGAGAGAGAGAGAGAGAGAGAGAGAGAGAGAGAGAGAGAGAGAGAGAGAGAGAGAGAGAGAGGAGAAAGAAAGAGATGAATAAATATGGGGTGGGAAAGAGAGAAAGAAATCAAAATTGTTATGAAAAATAATCAAAGTTTGTTTATATTATTAAATCTCAAAAACTTTAATGGGTATACAGGTCTTATAGAATAATAAGGCTAGCAATGGTCCAACGTGAGGGCTAACTACATAAACTGTCGTTTAAAAAAAAAAAATGCAGTCAGTTTGAGTTATTTTCTTGAATACGAAATAGCAGTGCAGCATTTTTATAGTTATAAAAGTAAAATTAATAATATTTCCAGGTATAAATGTAGTTTTTTTTATTTAAAATATAAATTTTTCATTTCACAATGATGTCACCTTTGCTCTAGGGCACCTGACAACTGGGTGGACAGAGCTTCGGATTCGTAGTCCTGAGATTCCGGGTTCGATCCCCGGTGGAGGCGGAGACAAATGGGTAAAATGTTTCTTTCACCCTGATGCCCCTGATGTTACCTAGCAGTAAATAGGTACCTGGGAGTTAGACAGTCGCTACGGGCTGCTTCCTGGGGGTGGAGGCCTGATCGAGGACCGGGCAGCGGGGACACTAAGCCCCAAAATCATCTCAAGATAATATATATATTGAAACTAATCACACCTTCTCTATACTAATAAGTATTAGATACTTTGGGGTACTATAATTGTTGAAGCTAACCAAACCAGGATCATTAAAATATATTTAAAAATATAATATGCCTGTATGCCAGATGCAGAGTGCTCCTGGCAGTATGGGTTCGAGTCACTTCTGGGGTGTCAGTTTTCAGTTGCATATATGCCTGGAGACCATTCAGGCTTGTTTGCATTTGTGTTCCTCACGTGTGGACCAAAGAATGAGGTGATTTGATAAAATACCATGCCCAAGATTACCATCAGAGTGCCGGCGGGGGGATGGGGAATTAACCTCGGCTACCATTATCTTTTGTCTGGTCGTGTTGGTCGAGTGGTTAAGGTGTCCTGTACGCCAGATGCAGAGTGCTCCTGGCAGTATGGGTTCGAGTCATTTCTGGGGTGTGAGTTTTCAGTTGTATATATATATATATATATATATATATATATATATATATATATATATATATATATATATATATATATATATATATATATATATATATATATATGCAAGGGCCTTGCATATATATATATATATATGCAAGGCCCGATTTGCCTAATAAGCCAAGTTTTCCTGAATTAATATATTTTCCCTATTTTTTTTTCTTATGAAATGATAAAGCTACCCATTTCATTATGTATGAGGTCAATTTTTTTTTATTGGAGTTAAAATTAACGTAGATATATGACCGAACCTAACCAACCCTACCTAACCTAACCTAACCTATCTTTATAGGCTAGGTTAGGTTAGGTAGCCGAAAAAGTTAGGTTAGGTTAGGTTAGGTAGGTTAGGTAGTCGAAAAACAATTAATTCATGAAAACTTGGCTTATTAGGCAAATCGAGCCTTGCACAGTAGGCTGAGAAGTGCGTTCTGGCTACTAGGTACGACATATATATATATATATATATATATATATATATATATATATATATATATATATATATATATATGCATTAGTACGACATATATATATATATATATGTCGTACCTAGTAGCCAGAACGCACTTCTCAGCCTACTGTGGTATATATATATATATATATATATATATATATATATATATATATATATATATATATATATATATATATATATATATATATATATATATATATATATATATAGTAAAATGTTCAAAATCAATCATTACACTATTATTTAAGTTTTATAAATGTTAAGTTAATGGATCATGGGCCCTACCACATACAAAATAACTGACGTTACTAATGTCAACAGCGTTTTATATTCCAAAAGAGCGTAACTAATCCCTTATATTGACATTTTATATTTGAAGATTGACAATGTATGGTGCTATTCTTCAATATGAAAGTGCATTTATACCCGCAAATACTATTAATTTTTCATTTATAACTATAAAAATGCTGCGCTGCTTTTTTGTATTCAAGAAAATAACTCCAACTGACTTCATTCTTTTTTAAATAACGACCGTTTATGCAGTTAGCCCTCACGTTGGACCATTGCTGGCCTGTTGCTACGATTTTTTTTTATTTCACAATGATGTTACTTTTGCTCTAGCCACGAATTTTATTTCATAGTGAAGTTAGCTTGGAGAATGATTTCAGATAGGACAGACATTTTATAGTTGAATAGATGGATTATACCACCTATTATTATTTCCACTAAAAAGCCTTTCCAGATAAAATGGAATCTTACTTTAAACTATAGAAAATGCATGTCTGTGGTGGAATAACTTCAATACTTAGTTTGAAATTGACCTCCCTATTTCACCTATAAAATACCAATTTTTAACTCATTTTATATTGAGCTGAGTACTGTAAGCTCATTTACCTTAGGGAGTAAACTGAGGAATTCATTTTAGTATTAGAAAGTAAACTGGGACCTCTGATTTAGAATATTTACCTATGAATTATCGATAGCATATTCATCCCATAAAAAAATCACACAGGGGCTTTGTGAAACTATTCAGGTCTGTTAAACCGTTAATATGACCCCCACACGCATGCCCTGTTTTATTGTTTGCTTGGCATGTCAAGGAACCATACAGCGCCTTGTACACTGAATATCAGACAAAACCCACCTCAATATTCCACTTGTACTCAGTGGTGAGCTTGACCCTTCCCTGGGGTGGTCATGGCTAGTGGGCCATCTTGGTACATCATACCCCGTAACTCCAATTGAAAGACCCAGGTCATCAACTTGTGCCCTAACTAAACATGCTAAAAACGTTTTCACTCTGTGGGTCTTGGGGGTCAAGCCAGGGTGACACTACCCAATCGCTACCAAAACTTAATTATATTTTGTCACCTTTATTACTACCACCATCGCCGCCACCACTACTACCACCACTACAACATATGTCTAAATGTCTACAACCACAACCTACCTGATGTTTACAAGTGGCGCTGTTACGTTGGTATGGGACAACATCACGCCCTTCGGCATTCCAGTGGTCCCCGAGGAGAAGAAGATCATGGCCACGGTCCGGCGAGACTCCACACCCTGTAAAGTGTTTTGAGGGACTTAATGTACGGTTATTTTATGGTATCTATGGTCTTTCAGATGCAGTAACTTGAATGATACAATTTTCCTCCAAGTGACTCTTAGATGCCCTAACACTACTTTAACTTACCTCTCTCTTCCTTAAATTGTCATTATGATACTGTTCACATGTACTGCCTCAGCTGAATGTTAAAGTTTAGTATCATCAAATCCCGACTGATGAATTCCCCTAACTAAAAAACTCCATGATGAGACCACATTCAAGATGATATGCAGAAACTCTACCGAAGAAATGAGGAAGAAAGTCAACTGAATAACTGATGTAGTTAATGCAAAAATAGGCGGCATCCACCTGCCAAAGATCGTGGGTGATTACAGCCTAGGTTACATCTACGGAAATGTCAAAACCAACAGAAGACTGGACATCAACGAGGCCCTACACATCAAAAAGTTAAGACCAGTAATCAATAACCAGTTAACACAATTAGATTCTACAGACAGAAGCAAGAACAGAAGCTGCTGATGTTCATGCATATACTACCCTATTAAAATCCATTATGTTTCATCCACTTGTTCATCTCCATCACGTCCTGTACCACCTCATCCCAAGAGAATATAAGCCCTTGCAAAGGCATTGAAATTTGTCTTTGAAAACGTAAGTAGCGCCGTGCAAAACGCTTCCCTAAGCGTCAGACCATAATAAATTGTGAAAATTAACTTCGGAGAGCTAATTTTTCAACTTCCCTCGACATTGAAGAAAAACATAAGAAATATTGAGAATTTTCGCGTTAGAATCATTAATCTTACCATTTCAGTCATATTCAACAACAAATGTTTACAAGAACGACTGCTACCAAAATATACTAATATTAGAATGCATGACCCAGCAGCAAGAAACCAAGCATTTACGATAAAATATCGCCGAGATCTGATACGAAATCAGATACACAAAGCAGAAAATGAGATCAATGATAGAAAAACGCAACAACTTTATGCTACAGACCAATGGAAACACACCAACATCGACGAAGACTTCCGTACCCGATTCGAACAAAGCCTCGACGATCTTGCAGGTCGACATCGCCACAGCACCGAAACTAGGATCATCGAGAAAATGACAGCATTATTCGCAGGACCTATGGCGGTTCCTCGACTTAGGCTTCTTAAATTTTGCTGGAATCAACCTCACTGAGAATCAAATCACTCTCTTAAATCTGGGAATAAACTGTCACGTTATGTCCAGACCAAGTGAGATGGCCCAGAAAGGGGGAGTTGGATATCCTATTGGACGATATTTTCGATCTCGAGATGCATATAAAGATTTCCACTAAAAACACCTTGCAAGCGGAATTTATTGCAGAGGAAGGAAAGAATCGAGGTAACTACAGAAGCACCATACTGTCCCCCAAGCTCAAGGTGGCAGCTAAGAGCCTTCATGAAAATAGGGAGATAGTCGTCATGAGAGGTGACAAGTCGCCAATATACGTCATTCTTAAATAGGACGAATATCGGGCAAAAATTAACCTCATCCTCTCCGACCAAACTAAATTCTAAAGGGTCACGAGGGAAACTACAGCCGAATTTAAAACGAATATAAACAGATTGATTGAAACTGTGAACGCCAAGATATGTAGACTCCACCTGTAAAAGGTTATTGCTGAATACAAACCAGGTAATGCACATGGGAATATCGAGACCCCTAAACCCGGAAACCCACTTCGGCCAGTCATCAACCCGATACCACACCCTCATACAGACTGGCTAAGTGACTCAACTGCCTGCTGACTCCTTATGTGCCTTGTGCTTTCAGCCAGAATTCTAAAATAATTTGTTGACCTATTGTGGGGAGCACGGGCTACGGGGATGAGAGCCTCTCTAGATGTGGAGTCGCTGTTTACCAACGTGCCTGTGGACGAAACAATCAGGATGATGATGGACAGAGTGTATCGTGATCAGGCTTGTACTTCTCTAGACATACCAGAGAGCATACTGAGGAAGTTACTCGAAGCTTGCAATAAAGAGGCACCACTCTTGAGTCCCGATGGGCACATGTATAAACAAGTGGATGGGGGTCACCATGGGTTCTCTCCTAGGTGTTTTGTTCAAGAGTTTTTACATGGGTACCATAGAGCAGAGGGTCTTAGTTGACCTGGACTTAAAACCTACCATATACTGCAGGTACGTTGACGACATATTTATACAGGTACCTGAAGTCGGACGTTAACAGCAGTTGAAGGAGGCAATCGAGCAAAATTCGGTGTTCAGTTTCACTTACGAGATGGAGAGTGATGGGAAGCTGCCCTTTCTAGATTTAACAGTCGCAGAAAGGAATGGAGGCTTTCATGCTGCAGTCTACACTTAGGAAACGAACATATGAATGCCTTAATGCTAATAGTGACTGCCCAGACAGGTACAAGTAGAATGTTGTCAACACCTACGTCGACCGCGCGCTCACTCACAACTCTGGCTGGAAGCAGGTCGACGGAGGAACTCTGTATAGTAAGGCAGATCCTAGTCAATAATAGCTTCTCTAACGGTTATATTGAAAACATCATTAAGAGAAAGGTGACACGCCATGCAACCTCAGAAAAATCAACCTACACAACACCTGTACCTCCCATTAGATTTGTTTACAGTAACTTCTTTTCCACGGCTTATAAAATGGAGGAAAGAGTTCTGAAAGATATTATTCATAGTAACCTTATCCCTACAGACACCAAACAGGAGATACAATTAAAATTTTTCTAAAAAAACAAGAAAACCGCCAACCAACGTTGACTATTCCTTCACATGCCCACTTGGGGACTGTCAGTCCCAAAGATCTCAGTATATAGGCAAGACAACAACGTCTCTTTCTAGGCGAATAACAGTGCACATGCAACAGGGTTCCCTCGAGGAGCATATAATCTCCTCACACAACAAGACCATCACCAGAGACATCTTACCGACCAACACTGAAATAATCGACAGGTATAACAACAACAAAATACTGGACATCAGCGAGATTCTACACATTAAAAAGTTAAGACCAGCAATCAACAACCAGTTAACACATAATTACATTACAAACAGAAATCACAATAGCGTGATATATCAAATGAACAAATTCACCCAGGCCGTGATGAGGGTTCGAACCTATTCACGGGGTGTTCCTAGCTACGTCTTAGACAACCGTCCCACGACATGGTTAAAAGAATTGCATCCTGGAGTGCTAATGCCCTCACTAGGATCCTCAAGCTTCTCCCGGGCACAGTCAACCAAATGTTCTACCTCTACGCCCTTACGGCAATACACACGAAGCACAGGGATGCCAGATTGGGCTACAAGTAGCGAATTGGGCTACTTTTCAGAGCCCCGCGCTCCCAAATTTTTAATTTCGCTACTTGCGACTTTTTGGGCTACTTTAAAAACAAGTTGGGCTATTAATGTTAAGAAACTCAATGATGATTTTTATGCTTTTTATAATGTCATGTGTACAAATCACAGCCGCTTCCAACAGCTTGATTGAACATAAGAACATTAGAACAAAGGCAACTGCAGAAGGCCTATTGGCCCATACGAGGCCGCTCCTATCTATAATCACCCAATCCCACTCATATACATGTCCAACCCGCGCTTGAAACAATAGAGGGACCCCACCTCCACCTCCACTTACACAAGTAGTTTACCAGTGTATTTGAATAGACTACTTACCGCAGGAGGTCAGGTCAGAGACCGACCCCCTGGGGACGTTGATCCTAGGAACTTCCCAAAGAAAAAGTAACCGCAAGGCAAGATAATCCTCCCTAGGGGCTATAGATTTCCCAACCTTAATTGCCATTAATACTTCATCCCGGGTACTGTCTATGTTAAGTGACCTCCCACTGTTGCCTACTGTAAATATTAGGTTTCTCTTTAGGTGTTTCCAAGAATCAAATGACTGTCGTTAGAGCGGATTAGCATACAGTGAACTTGGCAGCTTCATCTGTGCTTGCATTGTTAGTGTGGCTCTGACCTCCAGAAGGATAGTTCGACACAAGTTACCGCATATAGAAAAGAAGTTACCGCTGTTACTTTTAGAATTTGCTTAAGTGTTAAGATAAAGAAGTGAAAAATGAGGAAGTGGTCTAAATACCAGAAAGCGCTTCAGATGTCCTGGCTTAAGGATCCCGTGTTTGGAAAGTGGTTGGCTGAAGTGAAAGAAGATGGAAATAAGGCATATTGTAAAGTTTGTAGAACTGAGATAAGAGCTCATAGAAGTGGTTTAAAGAAACAGTGAAACATTAAAACACAGACAAAATATATCGGAGGTAAGTCATCAGCAGATTAGCATCAAGTCTGTTCTATCAAAGAAGGAAGAAAAACTTACAAAATTTAAATGTCGTCTGTCTGTATGTACTGTCGCTATCTAGAAATCTAACATTATGTTTGTAACTCATCTTGTATGTATGTACTTTTACCTGAATAAACATTTGATTTGATTCGATTTGACTAAACAAAAAATTGGGCTACTCTACTTGCAAATTCGCTACTTTTTGACCGTCAGCTCGCTACTTTTAGCAACTTGGATCTGGCAACCCTGACGAAGCAGACTTTGACGTCATGGTGGCGGATGGTGCGGGCGAGCGTGCGTCGACGCCTAAATGTGAATACTTGTTTCAGTTTTCTCACCTTAATTCTCGTGCTACGTCGTTCGTTTTGAATTCATTGTGTTCGTAATGGAATTGCCTACAATTAAGGTGTATATGTATATAATGTCCAAACGCCCGGCGTGACTCCCCACAGCAAAGCCTAAAGTCGGTAAAGTTACCCGTGGGCGCACAAAATCAGTAAAATGTGTGTACTCGTTTCAGTTTTCTCACCTTAATTCTCGTGCTACGTCGTTCGTTTTGGTATCATTGTGTTCGCAATTAAATTCCCTGCAGGTGTATATGCATATAATGTACAAAAGCCCGGCGTGACTCCGGCATGAAAGCCTAAAGTTAAAGTGTATACTCGTTCAGTTTGATAACATCAATTTC